TATATATATATATATATATATCCAGCTAACCTTTGCGAGTGGGGGGAATCGCTGTTCACACCCGCAACCCGTGAAACACGCGGTGCTACAAAGTGCAACAGGGGGACCTGAATCTTCCCAGCGGAATACTGTGCGCTGCAATGAAGAAAAAATACCTAAAATAAGGGTACCATGAGACTGGTAAGTCTCCCCCGTTACCAGGCATACTGAGGCAGCGGCGCAAGCTGTTGCTACGGGGTACGACGTCGCTTGCCATGAGTTGCAACGCAACTTTCTTTTAATTAGGACAAAGCGGAGCAAAGGCAGCCCAAAAGCAAGCACAAACAAACCTTCGTTACTGTATGCATGAACACTCTAAGCAACTGTTGGGCGCTTTTACTTGCGTACCCTTTGTCTACTACGCAGGCAAATGTTAATGCGCCAACTTACAGACACACTTGCAATCATCGCGCTACACGAAACACTGTTTCGTACGTGCTTGCATACGTTACTACTGAGGGTGATTATATTCTGATTAATTAATATATTCTGCCATTAATTTTCTCACTATTCGCACGGGAATTTCAAAGTTCAAATTCCAAAGTCATGCTACTTATATTACTTTGTCTTTGCTATGAGCTGCGGTGCATCGTTGTTGATTCGCAGTCCGCTCTACATCAACAGCCCCAGCGTTCCCCGCAGGGCTCCCCCTCCCAAGCCGTTGGGCTCGAAGGTTGCGAATTGCGACCTGCGACCACTGCTCTTCATCATTTAATTTGCTGCTTTTGGGACATGGTTTCACTTTATGGAGTTGTTCAGAACAACTCTTTTTGCTGTTGAGAGTTCCAACGCTTGTTGAGGTGTGGGGGAGGGGAGTTGCGGGTGTGATCTACATATCAAAGTGCCCCGACCAAACAAACTATTTCTCTGTCAGCTCCTCGGTTGTTTAATTTGGGGGGTGATCGATGCAATTTGAGCGAAATACACTGGCATTGTCGTGGTGTGGATGTGACACCGACGTCTTACAGACGGCGAGCAGTATCCCCTAAGCATCGTTAGGCTGCCCGTCTTGTCCTCCAGTTTTTTAACCATACGTTCCACCTTTTGCTGTAGTAGGCTTGTTGTGTAGTCTATATTGCGATTAGTTGAGAGAAGCACTAACCTACTTTGAATGTCGAGTGAGGGGACGTGAGTTTGGAATGAAGAGCAGCAGGAGCTGAAGAACATACGCATGGTCTTCTCCCGCCATCCTTCGGCGTTGCCGTCGTGGAAGGCCGGGTAGTCCTCTACATGCGGAAATAAGCTTCGGTGCTGCCCCACATCAGCGTTAGCCGCTGAAGACCGGTGCGGCTGAGTCGTTTGACAAGGGGCGAACAGTCAAGAGGCAGAAAGTTGCAGGTAAGGATGTCCGCGGCATTCTAATTGACAGTGTTGTAGCGATTCATAGTGATGGGTATTCCGTTTTTCTGTCACCAACGTGACACAACGGGCCCGTAGCGCCTGCTTCCGCTGAGTATAGCGGTATAATGCTCGCCAATGGTGTAAGGGTCCACGGGTCAGCATCCCCGAGCAACAGGGGGGTCGGCCCAATCGCCCCTAAAAGTTGGAGGCGCCATTGCAGTGGGGTTGCAGTTTGCTTAAATAGAGGCTTGGGCGTTCTCCGGCCCTTCTGGACTGCGTCAGTCTCCTGAGAGCATAGTCATGTGTTAGCATGTTCTGTGATCCGCAGGCAACTGGGGTGAAATGTAGTGTAAGTGGTGGCGGCATCTGTTCCAGAAATCGTTCATTCACTGCAGCCTCATAGGAGCCCTGTAACAATGCAGATAAAGCGCGCGGTACGCAGAGATAAATGCACCTCGTGCGCTGCGGAGACACCGCAGCAGAGAACCTCTACAGGACGTGGCCATGTGTTGCTTTAGTGCCGTCCAAACGACTAAACGCAGACCTGAAGAGAAACTAAGACGGCCTGCCATGGTCGGTTGGGTCATTCACAGCATAGTCAAATTGAATGATGAGCGGCGTTAGCACGGGTCTTCTGTGCACACCCCACCATTGTACGTAGGGGGTTCAAATCCGCACATTCCTTGTGTCCGCGGCTACTTAAGCATTCCCTTAAAAGCGTTTCTGTGTAAGACTGCCGCGACAGTCCAACACAGGCCAAAACGGCATGTGCCTTAGGCTCGGCCCTTGGCAGCATCTGTCCGCCTCTGCATTTGTTTGTATTCCGATTCCACCTCTTCCAACTCCTGCACAGACGGAGGAGCAGTCGAGACAGGCAGCGGTATATGCATCCATGACTACAATCGCACCAACCCTCGTTTCCCAAGACACGAGGTATGTGTTAAGCGCATTACGACCCAGCAGAGAACGGCGACATAGTCGTATCGCAAATGCACACATAAACAAATACACCATGTAGGTTAATCTGTGTACTGGGTGCGCTCCTCCCCACCCTCGCACGCCCTCCTCGGATGACAGCGGCACAGCGGGAGGATTCAACAAGACTCTCAATAATACGCACAAAGAGCCTAGCGCAACCGAAAGCCTACTTGCTGGAGAGCCCGTTGAAGGGCCGTCTCATCAAAGGGAGACTTCTTCAGGGCCTCCATTTGGCCCCTTATTGCCTTGGCTATTAACTGCAACAACTCCAACTCCGACAGCTGTCGTGCGTTTCTGTAGCTGGGGCGACCTTCTTCAGGGCGCAGGTCTATGGCGTTGCCGTTAGGGTCCCGAAACACGCCTAGGACAAACCCACACAAGCAGAAGAAAAACTTGTGCTATGTAAGGGCATTGCCTTGGCTATTAACTGCTAACTGCTATGTATGGGGGGTCCTGACAATGTTTCGTGGTGTGCTTAACACTGCACCACGGCGTGAATCGGCCGTACCTGGGAAGGCTGAAATTTGGTAAACTTTGGTATATCCGTCCTTGTCGACATCGTCAAGATCTTCATATTCTTCTAGAGCAACCCACTTCAGCTTCCTCTTCTCCAACTCCCTGGAGTAGTCGAAGTCCGCAGGCGGCCACTGCGGCCACGCGTACCACCACCTGACAAGCCAACCCAAAGGAAAAACCCAAGCCACATTGCTGCTGGTAGTGCCGCTGCTACCGATGCAGCTTTAGCTGGTGTTGATGCTGCTACTGCTGCTGCAACACAGCGCAGGGCCTCCCCGGCATGCACACCTCACGCGCTAGTGGCTGCTACTACAGAAATGGTTGCAGCAGCAGGAGCTGTTGCAGCTGCGGCTGCCTAGCATATATGCGCTGTACAGAGGTTGCTTCATGAGGAAAGACAGCATATTCAACATCTCATACAGGTGTGTTACTTGTGCCAAGGCAAGAGAATGAGGCAACGGGGCTGAAGACAACCGACCGCAAACAATGGAGGGGAACAGCAACAACGACAACGGAAAACGAGGACCGAGACACCACAATACACTACTGAAAAGAGCATTAGCAAAGCAATAAACTGTGCAAGAGAGAGCAGACAAAGAGAAAGAGTATAGCGACGCCGAACCAGCCGGCGACGAACGGCGGCGGAAAGGGCAGATAAAGAATACAACAAGGTGGCAATCGATGGTGAAAGGCAGCGGCGATGTCGTCTTGCCTTCGGAGGAACTGTGCGACGAGTCTGTCCTTGAGGCTCCTCTTTTTGGGGTCGAATGTACCCATGCTGATTTCTTGTTCGTCGCCTTCATCATCGCTGTCTGCTGCCTCTCCTGTTTTCTTGCAGACAGGAGTTGGACGTACACCCCGAGGCTTACCCCCTTCGGCTTTCACTCGTCGCTGACCGGTTGATTTGGCTTTCGCCATTTGTTTTTTCTTGTTCGGCGACCTCCTTGACTTGGCGCGGCTCCTGCATGGCGCGTCTGACTCTTCTCCGCTGCTACTCTCGCTGCTGCTGCTCTCACTGCTGCTGCTGCTGCTACTGCTGCTGCTGCCGCTGCTGCTGCCGCTGTCGCTGCCGCTGCTCCCGCTCCCGCTACTGCTCCCGCTACTGCTCCCACTGCCGCTGCTGCTGTTGCCCCCGCTACGCCGTCGGCTTTTCGCTGAACACAATTAAAACAGACAAACAATGCGCCGTCTCTGCTGCTGCTACTCGTGCTTCCCTAATAGCAGCGATACTACAACCAGTACTGCTGCGGGCCACACCCCTTCCTGCCCCCACTCCCTCCCGTCCTGCTTGTGCAATCTCCACTTCCTCTTAGTCGCTTCCCTACCTGGGGCTTTCTGCTTTGCTGGCGCTGCTCCTTTGCTGGTCCCGTTTTGCTGCTGCTTCTGCTGCGCGGGTGCTGCTGCTGCTACTGCTGCTGCCTTCGGAGCCGCCGTCTCTGACTTCGTGCGGGGTGGAGCAATGTGCATTTTGCCGAAGACGACATCTTCATCCGAGCTGTCGGACACGAATTTGTTTTTCTTTCCTCGGGGTCTTAAAGGGGACTCGTCATCGCTGTCTAGCAAGCGCCGACGGCCTCCCGCGCCTGGCGCCGAGGCAGCAGCCCGAGGCGCTTCCTGCTCTCTACCTGTTGGTGCAGCAGCAGCAGGCGCAGCAGCAGCAGGTCCACCAGACGCACTGCCAGGAGCTGCTCCTGGCAAAAACGAGTTCCCCCCTCCTGAGTCTTGTGCTGCGGCAGGTGCGGTGGAAGGCCGTTTTGTCCCCGGAGCCCCAGCAGCAGCAGGTCCTGTGGGCTCTTTACCGGACTGCATAGCAAGACAATACAGGAGGGAATCACGCAACTCATGCAGAGTAAGCGCATGCGCACCTTTTCCGCTCGTCTGTGTGTCTCTTATGGGTAATCTGCTCTTTATAAATAAGAAGCGGCGCGCTCCAACTGAGGCTTGCAAGCTTGTGGCTGCTTCCTGTGTCCGGTTTTCAAGTGTCTATGCCACTGCCCTGTGCACATGTGCGTGTTATCTGACACATTATTTAGCCTAGTTACTATAGCGTGCTTCTATTTGATGCATGCAAGGAGTAGTTTGTCTGCCTTTAGGCGAGGCGCCCTAGGGTTGCAGTGGCCTGCAGTGCCTGTCGAGACAGTCGAGCTGGGCTACCATATGTGCGCTTACCTCCATCTTGCCCCGCAGCTGATGAACCCCACTATTAAATGCAATTTAAACGTGTCTTTAAACCAATCACAACGAGCCTGTTGCTGTCTCGGCTACCAAGAACCCTTTTGGCCGCGAAGAAGACCATCAAGGAGAATGGCTGCACGGAGGATTTCAGCAGCCCGTGGCTGTAGTCTTTACAGAAGGAGTTTACGTGGTGTTGAATCTGCTCCTGCGGGCTCAGCAGACATCGCTATCTCGAAACCGCCCCAGTCGTTTCAAGCCACACAGTGCTACTGAGGCTGCAGCAGGCTGTTGTCCCCTGCAGCTATTAGGCGCGGGCTCTGCGGAGTTTGAACGATCGATGCGGAAAATGAAGAATTCAAAAGAAACAAAGACAAGCCGAAATGGTTGAAAGGAGGCGCTTTAGCCCTAGTGCGTGCACAGGGAGGAGGGTCGCCGCCTGCCAGGCCCGGCCTCCTCGTCGGCGTAGCTTCTGGTCAATGTGCAACGGAATAAGAGAAGAACACTAAATATTATATTGATAAGTATGAACAATTACTCAAGACGATGGCCCAAAGAGCCGAACCACCAACTCGCCGGCGTGCCTGTACGCCTTGCATGCTGTGGCTCATTGCTGGCTGGCGGCTGCCCATGGGCTGCAGTGCCCGTGGAGAAAACAAAACTCCAGTAAATAATAACATGAATGGTTTGTTATTTGTTTTAAATGAGGACACTCGCCAACTTGTCAATAGTCACTGTCGATATGCCCGTACAGCGTCGCAGGCTCCTCGATGGAGAAGAATCACCGGGCCTCTTGTTAGCAACCCCAGAGAACTGTTATTTGCAATTCATCTCCTCCCCACTGTCGCATTTATTGCCATTTTTACATTCACTTTGAAAGATCCGCTGGTGGTTTACTAGTGGCCGATGGTCGAGGCCCCTGCTGACCACATCTCCCCTCCCGTCGCCTAGAGTTGTGCATGCGCAACGTGCGTTGATGCAGCAAATGACACCTTCACCTCTACATGAAACTGGAACGTCACCTCATGGAGGTACATCAGCTCCAGAGCTGTTCAATTACTCGGAAGATGAAGATGACGAATGGATGCCTTTCCGCCGATCTGCCCCCGACTTGGTAAGCAATTGATTTCGCGGACTCTGCGCATCTGCGTTCTACAAGCTCACGCGTTTGCTTCTTGTGGGCTTAGATTGTTTCAATGCCACTCTCCCTCTCTCATTGTCATTATTAATTTTTTTGAGGAGCCGATCTTTCGCAGGCAAAGGCAGAAGACGGCTGGGACCTTCGCGGCTTCGTCTCCCCCTTTCAGTGCGTGCCACCTATTCACATGGTGGAGCTATGCCGCAGTCTGCCTGAGGCTGTTGTATGTGCTTTCTGCTCACATTGTTTCCGTAGTATCACTAGGTTTGTCTTGTGTCTTTTCTGTCTACACCCGTAGGGGCACTTCATTGGTAAGCACAACGACAGCCAGCCACCTCAAGGCGAAGATTGCTTTGAAGCTGCTTATTGTCTTAAGAAAGAAATTCACTCTCCTTGTTTCGCCTGTAGGAGAAGATACGCGCCATTGTCGAGGCAATTCAAGTTACTGAGAACGATGTGGTGTTCGAGTGCGCCATCGAACCCGCACGGCCCCATGCACCACTTGTATTGATTTAGGCTTAACGCTTCATCCTCCTCTCATGTATTTCAGGTTTTTCCTTCCGTGTTTATACAGATAGACCAACTGTGCTGTTGCTGCGTGACGACGCCTCCGCTGTGTTCAGTTTGGGCTGTGGCGACGGCCGCTTCATCATCGAGTGCTGCCGGCTAACGAGCTGTTCAGGTGCGTTTACCTTCAGTGTGCCTCTCGGATTACTTCCTCTTGCATTGCTGTAGCAAGTTATTATTATCATTAAAGCCACAAAGCCGTCATGACTGTAGGGCTTCTGGTCGTTCAACCGTTTTGTGCTTCCGTTTCCCTGCTCGTCGCAGAGAAATACAACTGCACACATCCCGATGTATGCATTGCATTTGCAAGTACAAGAATGTCCATATATATAATGCATATCCAGGCCCTCTGTCCATGTCTGCATGTTACATTTGTATTCACACACATTCCGGTCAGCGTGTTAGGGGGCGCACACATTTATATATATTACATCTGTACGAGACGCATCCATCCGTCTGGTCTTCCCTGTCATTTTCTCTCTCTCTCTCTCTCTCGCTGTGTATATATGCCCGCCCCTATTGTGTTTTTCTGCCGCAGGCGTTGGTGTGGAGCTCGACAGTTCATTGTTCGCTAGAGCGAAGCGTAATGCCTCGAGAGTTGAGGGCATTCGTGCCAGTTTCATACAGTGCGATTTCATAGCCTCAACGCTGGATTTGTCGGAGGCGACGGTGATGTGGGTTACCCTTGTCACGACAAGCCCCTTCGTATACTTCATTCTTCCTTGAGGAAGTTATATAATTGCCGTGTCCTGTTACGATCGCTGTGTCTTGCTGTCCCTTCAGCAGGACAGGAAGTAGGCAACCGAAACCGCCTGTATGCTGTGCTTCTATCTCTGCCTCGTGTTTCATTTCAGCTTCCTCTATCTCCTGCCGGAGGCTCTGCAGCTGCTGCTGCCAAAACTCTGCCACCTTGCGCGGACCTCTACTGCCCTGCGGTGTATCGTATCTATATGCTGGGCGCTGCCTTCGGTGTCCGCCTCAATTCATAATGCAGAGATGAACTTCTTTATCTACAATGCTGCAGATCTGAACAGCAAAAGTAAGACCCCCGCCTAGTACCTTCAGCTGGAGGCCCGAAGGCAGCTAACTAGCTAGCCTGTGCGAAGAACGTTGCTGCAGCCTGGCATGCCTGTGCTGCATTAACTGGCGCAGCAGCAACTGCAGCAGCGCTGCTGCTGTGAGAATCACTTCGATCCAGCAACTTCCGCGGCACCGTTGTCTTCGGACCAGCAGTAGCTGCGGCAGGCCAAGCAACTATTATTGCCGCTGGCGGTGTAGGGAAGTTGTACATGTTTCCGGTTTTTAAGGAAATGCATGGGTGATGCCAAATTAAGTGGGACTATCGGAACCCTGGGAATAGCCAGTACAATGAAGTCATTCCTACTGTGCTGGCCTTTCCAGCTAAAAATACAGCGGCGTCTGCTGCTGCTGCTGCTGGTGTCCCTGAGGTCATTGCTGTAGTAGCATGCTGCCGCCCCTGCGTAGCGCTCGCCTCTTGGTGTTTTTTAACTGCAGGAAGAGGCCTTGCAACCCCTCGATTTCCTGCGTTACTTACGAGTGATGGACTCCTATTACTAACTGCTATCGCCCCTTCAGTTATTTTGATCAACACCTCGTTTGTTTCTTCTTCCTCCTCTTCAGCAGGGATTTCCTTTTGAGATTCCACTAGTTCTGCGGCAACGGTATGCAGTGCAAGCCGTCCACATGGTTTAGACTAGAGTTGCACCTTACGTTCTAATGCAGAATGGCCTCCTTGCGGAGCCTCCTCCTCGTGGAATTCCGACGGTTCTTGTTGTTTTTGTTGCTGTGGCTCTCCTTCCGTTTCTGCTGTCCCTTCTTCTAGGTTTCATTTAGCATGGCGGGTGTAGGGCTGCATGTTTTGGATTAAGCATGTTGACATACCCCTAACGACCTCTTCCTCTGCGGCTTTTGCCTCTTCTTCAGCAAGTGTTGCTTCTGCTGCTGCTTGTCCCTCCTCTTCTGTCTAGAAAGGAGTAGATAACTGCCGCAGTTGGTGCAGCTGCTGCAGCATCGCCGGGGTAGCAGACCCAATGCTCACCACAGGGGCCCCCGCCAACTTCTCGATCCCCGCAGCAACTTGGCGCTGAACCATAGAACGATTTAAAAAAGAAACCCCTGCGTATTCTCCTCAGGACTACCTCCTGCTCTATAAGGGATTTTAGATTTTCTCTCTCCTGGTTCAGCTCCTTTTGCATCTCCATTTCATGCAACTCGGCAACGACTGTCGGGTACATTATATATACGCAAAAGTGTTCGGCTACAGAGCTCCCAGTCGCCTACCTCTGGCTTCGGATGTTTCATGCTTTGCTTTCTCTTCCTGGCTGCTGCTGATTATTCTGTACGGAGGAAACAACCTAGGTAGCCCACCTCCTCTCTGAGTCTGGAAGAAAGCAAGCAGGTCGTGGTGGTGACTGGTTGCTGCCCATTTCCCTTCATATCTCGCTTACTCATGTTCCGTGTCTGCTTCGCCTTCCTTGGCTCTGGTTATCTGCTGCGCATCTCGGTGGGCGCATGGTTACTCAACAGAAGAGGGGAGCAGGTTCTCCGTACCCTTTCGGCATCCAGCAGCTCGTTCACGGCTGAAGATGACGATAAAATGCAACTCGTTTCCACTACACCTACGTATACCTCTCTGACCTCCTTTGTGGTGCCTTGCCTCGGCGTCCTTGGCCTGCACTTTTACACAGAGAAAATAGAGCCGACAACTTCTGAACTGCTGTTGGGCGCTTTCATACCAGTTTGCGCACAAGCGCCGACTCCTCATGCTGTAAGTGCGCGTGGTGGTTAATTTGCTCCCGAATAGCTGCAGATGGAACGAGTGACAGTTGAGTTCCTTTTGGTCGGGGCTTTCCTACACCCGTCTTCACGAAGCCCACCTCGAGCCACCTCGTGTTCGCCGGAAGCTGAAAAGCAGTTGAAAAAGGAGAAAATCGGACCCCTCTACGGTGGCCCAAAAGAGATGACAAATACAAATGATACCGTCAGTTGGAACACAACACTCATTTGGCTCATCGGCTTGACAATTTCTAATGAAGCACACTGCCACCGCCACCAGCAAGGCACAATTAATTCGGTTTATCCGCATTCCCTGCTCTACTGTTCGTTTCCCATGACTCGATTCCATCAACAAATCTAAAGAGCACGTGGAAAATAATCTATATCATAAACCCTCGTAGAATGCCCAAAAATCTTTGCAGTGCAGGAAGGGACGTCGTGCGCTTGCGCTACTTTCGAAACCGTCCATACACCTGATGCACATCTGCTGGGAAACAGGAGGTGAGCCAAGGCATAACAAACGTAATTCGAGTATCTAGAGGCCACAACTCCTCACTGACCTAGTGCTAACCTTAATTAACACGATGTGCTACCCAAATATCCGTTATTCTCGTGCCTGTACACAGAGGAGGCGCTAATATCGAGTATGCATTTGCTGGGCAGACTACTGCCCCCAAGTTATTCACAGAAATACAGACTCTAGGTTTCTTCAACAAATGGCAGTTTCTATTTTTAATTACGCAAGCCTTTGAAACTGTTGCTTCTTTATGTGTGTTCGGCGGCAACGCGCCAACCAGCACACTGAATGGGACCGCGGATTCCTGTCACCACATGGACGTCGTACAGGCTGGCAACTCCGCAATGGCGTTTTATAGTGTAAGACAAAGTATAACATTAATTATCACAGATGATAAGAAAAAGCGTTTATGAAAGACAGAATTATTCCCCCCGTTACACGTTTTTATGTTATCGCAGGCGGTTGCCGCGTTTGCTCCCCTTAGGCCTGGCGTGTTCAATTGCTGCCTCGTTCGTGTCAAAATTTATACCTCCCAATTTTTTCGTCCTAACTTTCCCCGAAATTCCTTTATCTTGTTTGATTAACCCAGAATACAGACCCATGATATTTAGGTAAGCTGCGTGCGCGGTAGCGCTAGTACAGGCCCCCATGAATAAAGCCACCGTACAAACTCCACAGAGCAGTCCTTCCCCCTTGATAATTTACTGCTTATTGAGTATCCCACAGTTTCTACTGGTCTTCTAACTATTTAACCATTAATGGGGCAAGAACTCGTATGCCCAGTGGTCGCCCGCCTCCGTGCATCGGGGCTGCGGTAGCGGTGGCGCCTCGAGAGGTTGCCGCTGGGTTTTCCATGCCTCAGCACACATACGACACAAGTGAGGATGTACAGTTGAGGGTTTCCAGTGTTAGTTTATAGACAAAAACGCATATAAGGATTAAAGTGCTAAAGGCGAACCCTCCGTACCCGCCGGTGTCAGCAGGCAAGTCACTACCTGCGTTGAGGAGGCTGCGTCGACCATGGGGAAGAAGATGGTTGCATGAGAATAAATGGGGGATAATAGCCCCACTTCAAGTGTAAATTATGTCCTCTGAGATGGTTACGTAAGCAAAAGTGTGTCCGTCCGACCCTTGTTTTGTGAAATTTCCCGAGTAAATGAGTTTATGTTTAGCTCGTCTCAGTTGGTCTCGCCGAGTGCCGTATACTGCGCCCTTACATACATTCTGCGATTCAGCTTCTCTGCTGAATGAACATATTAAAACATTTCTAATCATAACCAGGTGCAGCGATGAGGAACGTGCCTACTGCGGGAAATGCTGCAGTACTTGCGGTGTCCATCCAGTGCCTTTAGCTCACACAGCATGGGGATGTAAATGCAGAAGCAGTAGCAGTTCTGCATACTTGAAAAGGGAGGCGCCACTGCCTCATAGAACAACACAGAGCCGAAACAGTGATGGTTGACTGCGCGGGGGGGTTCTCCCGAACATACACCAGCTAACGGCGTTCAGGTAGGCCCCTTCTGTTTGTAGCCTTCTTCCATCTAGGCAGACTATCCCCATCTCTGCTTAACTTCTGATGCGCCTCACACGAAGACGGGCGGCTATCAGGACCCTTTGTAGCTGCCATTGCAGCCTCTAGGCATTTTTCTGTACAACCCATGCCCACATTCTCGCTGTGCCAAGGCACGAAGAAGGCTCGCTGCAGCCTTTGGGGTCCCAGGGTGTTGCAGCAAAGAGGGGCCCTTGAAAATGCATTTGGAGGCCGCGGGAGGTCTGCAGGCGTTTGAATGCTCTAGCTTTTCTAGGACGCTTTCAGCTGTTACAGCCTGGGGGGCTGCTAAGGGAAAAGAAGTAAAGCAGGAGACTCTGGAGGCGCAGTGCAGGCATACTAAACTGCAGAGCAGTCCTGAGCTGAAGTCGGCAACCAGCAGAAGCCGCAGCACCAAAAGCAGCAGAAACCGAAGCAACAGCAAGAGGTGTGGCATGCGAAAGTGAAATGGCTCTTCCTGACTCTAATGGCAGTAGTACGCTTGGGGGGGCGGTAGGTGCAGCTGGCGTGAGTTTCTCTCGCAGGGGCACCCACTCGTGGGAGGACCTTAAAAGAGTTGCAACAGAGCTTAGGGGCAGCCTGAACTGGGCAGCCACCCAAGGCGTTGCTTCAGGAATGGAGGCGCGGCGCGGAGCTAGCGAATTGACGGCCCCTCAATGCTGGACAATGCTACAGCAGCGGGGCCCCCCAACACAAGATGTTGCTGAGGGAGACTGCAAGGCTGGAGGGGAGGGCCACAAGCCTCCTGTTGCTGTAGCAAATCTACATGCCGGGGTGCAGAGAAGTCCTACAACATCTCGCAGGCCCTCTGTGTCTGCAGCTCCCCGGAGAGTCCCCTTAACTGGGAGCCTCTGCCTCCTGGAGCCGTCCGTGATTGCACAGGCAGCTATGCTGACTCAGAGGGGGCTGCCTGGTACCTCTGCAGCTGAGTCTGCGGCTTCTCCCTTGCCGGTTCTAACTTCTTTGGGCCTTCCCAAGCGTCCCATCAATAGCAATGGGGCTACCATCGCCGGGCAAGTGCCCCCCCGCACCGGCAACAAGGGAGAAATCGATGGCGCACAGCAACCCAAGCCGCAGACGAGCACCAACTTCTCTGCTTTTCCGTGGGCGCCCCCCTTCAGAAGCTCCAGGCACCTGTGGTCCACACCGGGTTCACTCGGTTCCCAGCAGGAGCCTCCAGAAGCGCCTCATGGGTCAAGAGAGCCCCTTGGCCCCCCAACACCTCCTCAGGCACACAGAATGCAAATGCTGGGCCTGCGGGGGCCCAAGGTGCAGCACCGGGCGAGTGCTGGAAACCTGCTGCTGCAGCGGCAGCTGGCGGTATCTGCTGGGATGAGGCGAGAGACCTCTTGGGCCCATTTCTCCAGATTGTCTCAGGAGCAACTGCACAACAAACCAGACGAACGAGGAGGAAACAGAGAACATGCCGACTCACGTATCCCTATACCATCATGGAGCCTCCTAACTGTTCTCAATTTCTCAACAGCAGCCAAGGCAGCTACAGCAGCACCTGCTACAAGGAGACCCTACTCCTCAGACTGCACAACAACTGCAGATACGGCGGAAGCCGCAACAGTAGCAACAGCTACTGCTGCTGCTACTGCTGCAAACGAATTTGATATTACACCTGCAGCAGCTTCAGATGCCTCGCCACTATTAAGGAAGACGCCTGGGCATAAGACAGAGCTACAAGGCGTGTCGGGGTGTCCAAGTGAAGACGAAATACTGAATAGAAAAAGGCAACAAGATGCTGCATGCGCTGCACTCGAGTCAGCAGCAGCAGCTGCTGATTCGTTGTCAGTCTTTGCGCCACACTTAAAAGCGCCTGCTACACCTCCAGCAGCACCTGTAGATACTACTGCTACTGCTACTGTTGCTGCTTCGGCCGCGGAGGAAGCCACGCTCAGCAATGCATCTTCAAGAACAGCATCAGATGCACGACGTGAGGGGGAAACAGCAAAATCAAACGGATGCACAGCAGCGGCAGCAGCTCCAACAGAGGCACGGGCTGCAGAAGGCAAGGGAAAACCAGCAGCAACCGAGGAAAAGGCGACCGTGGTTCCTCAACCCGCCCATCCAAATGTATCAACGCCGGAAGCACAGAAGGGACGCCAACCGGCAACAATAACAGCAACCGACGTGGCACCAGCAACAGGAGCAACGGCAACTGCAGAAGGGGACTGCACGACCAGCCCGCGCCGTCACTCTCTCTCTGCTTCTTCACGCATTGTGCCTCCCCTCATATGGAGAGCCATACCTCCAGAAGACTGTGCCTCTCAAGCGCCGTGTAGCAGCAGCAGGTGGGCACCCTTAGCTTCTTTTTCTCGGCGCAGATGGAAGGCTTTTGACATGGCGAGGCCCCTGAGGCTTAAGGTTGTGACAATCGGCCCCGAGCGAAGCGGCAAGAGTTGTTTAGTGAGGCGGTTTTGCGAGCGGCGATTCGCTGGGGGCCCCTGTGGCGCTCCAGGGGAGCTGGTGGGGTCCCAAGGGACGCGAACAATCGGTTTGGACTTTGGGCTTAAAGACGTGCAGCTGCCCACCAAGGAAACGGTGCGCCTGCATTTCTTTGACTTTTCCGGGGCCCCCCAATATGCAGAGGCCTTTGAAGGGGCCCTCGAGCGTTATGATGTGCTGCTGGCTGTGTTCGATGCTACCGACCCGAAGTCCCTCCCAGAAGCTGTCAGGATACTCAAACAAACGCGGGAAGCAGCAGGCGGTGAGCCCAGCAGTGGCACTTTCCTCTGTTCCGCTCTGTGCCTAAAAAACAATGGCGTACCTCCTATACTGATCTGTTTAATACTCTTTCCCTCTCCACAACCGCAGCTGCGGCAACAGTGGTCCCAGCCCATAGCAGTAAACACCATCACCATAAGTTCATGGTCATGGTCCCAGCCCATAGCAGTAAACACCATCACCATAAGTTCATGCATAAGCTCGTTGCCGTTAGAAATCACAGAATGGGGTGCATGCAGCAAGACGCCCCAATACTTACTGCCTCTTTACTCCCTGCAGCTCAGGAAGCCATCATCGCCTTAGTAGCGGCAAAGGCCGACGGATCTGCTGCCGCAGCAGCCGGTGCAGCTGCAGGAGAAGCAGCAGCAGCGGCAGCCGGAGCCCGCTTCTACGCAGCATGCGCAGAGACAGCAGAAGGCGTCGACACACTCTTCCTGGAAACTGCAACAGCAGCGGCAGCAGCTGTAAGAGCCAGAGCTGCTGCATCCGTTGATTGCCAGCCACAACAGCAGTATCAGCAGCCGCAGTAGCCAAAATACTAGTAACAGCCGCAGCAAGGCTCCCCCATGTAATCAAGTGGGAAGCTCCGGCAGTGAGTTGCTTCCATTGACGGCTCTCGCAGCCGCAGAAGCAGCAGCAGCAGCAGTAGCTGCAGACGCTACGCTACAGATCAAATGCGCATCCCTGCTGGGGCCCCTGAGAGGGCTCCAGCAAGCCTTCACATGCCCTGTAAGAGCAGTAAGGGCCCTCTGCCTCCCGTTCTACTTAATATTTAATCATCTGCATGCTCCATGCGGCCACCAATGCACAGGCGGCCCCTTAAACATCACTACCCTGGTGAACCCTCAGCCTCACTACCTTCGGAATCAGCCGTCGGGTGGGGCAAGAGGGGCTCACTCTTCGGCTGGTACTCTCCAGCCACTTGGGGCCCCCATCACTGTAATGGGTCTCCTAAGACCACATGCAGTGGCAATATCATAGGGGCCCCTTCCTAACACATGCAACTTCGAGGCCTCTACTCTTTCGAACCTGTCGCTGTAAGCATAGTCACCTAACTCGGACAACGAAGAACGCTTCGTTTGAGCAGAAATACAGCAGCAGCTGTACGAGCTGCACCTGCTGCAGTAGTTGCTGCAGCAGGTGGTGCTGCTACGTGCCCTCGTGAATTTCCTGATGACGATAATCTGCTACCAACATACACTCCTCTGCAGCAGCACAAGCACCAGCAGCAACCTGCAGGCCCACCGGCTTGGAGGCCCTATCTACCAACCGTCTCGTTGCTGTTGCTCCTGGGGTCGCTGCACCTGCTACTGCAGATACCGCAGCAGATCTCTACTGCACATATTGCTGGAGAATTGCTGCAGATACTACTGCTGCAGATACTGCTGCAGATACTTATGCAGACACTTATGCAGGCTCAGCATACGTAGCAATTTGCCGCCGCTACAACGACAGCAGCACCAGCTACAGCAGCAGCAAAAGCTGCAGCTGTAGCGACAGCTGCATATCAACTCCAGGTCAATTCTCGCTGCGCCTCTTCCAGCTTATGCACAAGCACCCCAGCCGGGCTCGGCGTACCAACATGGGGGCCGACCGCGCTCAGGAAAAGCTGCAGTTGCAGCGGCAGGATGAAGATGCAGCGGCAGCAGCAGTAGCAGCTGGCGGGGTTACTGCTGCCGCCGCTAAAACCCTGTTGAGACCCATCCCCTCTGACTGTCACTCTTGCAGCCTTCTGGCCATTCCCTCCGTCTGCAATGCCAATAAAACAAAATTATGCCGACCCAGATGAGGCTACCGCAGAAGTGTTGGCAGCAGCAGCAGTAGCTGTTGCTGTTGCTGTTGCTTGTGGGTGCTGGGTGCGACCCAGGGGGCAAGGCATGTGGGGTGTTTTCCTCATGCTTTACGTCCTTCTGCGTCGGTCTGCTGCTTGGCCTGTTGCTGCTGCGGCTGTTGCAGCAGGTGCTGCAAATGCTGCTGCTGGCAGTGGAACCGGGCAGCATGTGAGCAGAAAGCCTCCCATATAGCCTCGCTACGTCTCTCCAGAGAATGTCGCGCTGTTAAGAATCCGTAGACTGCTGCAGCAAGCGCCTCTGAACGCATTGCTGCCCATGCAGGAGCCTCGACATAGACAAGCACCTGCTGCGCCAAGGCCACCTGCTGCTGCAGCGGCTGCAGCAGCATCTTCTGCTGCTGCAGGCGCTGCTGCTGCTCCCCCACCTGCGCTGCCTTGTCCTTCCAACGCAAATGCGTCTGCAGCCAACAACCCCTAGGAGATCGCCGCAAAGCCGCAAGCTCAACCTGCAGCTTCGCCGTTGCTGCTGCCAGCTGCTGCTGCTGCTGCTGCAGCTGCTCCACATAGTTAAACGCATTCAGCATGCACTCGCTGTCTTCTATTCCTCGATTAACAGCAGCAAGCAGCACGTCTAGATGCTGCTGCTGCGACTGACGTTGGCACAACATGCCACAGAAAAATAATACTGAGGACAGGTCCTGCAAAGCGTCGCTACCCGATATTCTAAACCCTTGCACCAATGCCGCCTGCTGCTGATGCTGTTGCTGCTTCTGTTGCTGTATGCATTGGTTAGCGAGGACAGCGGATGCACACCCAGTGCTGTGCTTGTCCACATACTGTTGCTGCTGGTGTTGTTGCTGTTGTTGCTGCTGCGACTTACGGCTCCACGATGGCCCATTTTCGCGGATATCTTTCTGGTGCTCTTGCTGCTGATGATGCTGCTGCTTTGCTGCGAAACCCCATGCTGCAGCAACAGTCCCACAGCCGTTGTCACTCAGCTGCTGTTGCTGCTGTTGCAGTAACAAGGGCTGCAGCAACTGCTGCAACGGGTCTGCGAGTCTGTGATCTAACAGCACAGCTTGCAAGGCTTCCATGCTGCCTTGCTGCTCCTGCTGCAGTTTGCAAATGCGTCGAAGGTGCCGCTGCAGCAGTGACAGGAACTGTAGGTGGTGTGACACTAAGGCCTTGCTGGCAGCCATGCGGGGGCCCGCGTCTGCAGCAGAAATAGCAGCAGCAGCAGTTGCTGCTGTAGCTGGAGATGGGGGCCCCGACCCCCATGCAGGAACCTGTGGAGACACGGAGGAAGGAGAAGTGGCTTTTACTGCTGCTGCAGGTGCTGCCGCAGGAGCAGCAGCTCCCGCCGCCGCCGCCGTCCCAGCAGCAGCAGCCAATTCGCTTGCAAATGTTCTTTTGTACTCAGCAAGCTGCTCCTCGAGCCTCTGTAGTTCCGTCATGTGCTGTCTGCGTTGCTTCAAAGCCTCAATAGAGAAGGTTCCGTCGCTGCTGTTGCTGCTATTGCAGCAGCTGCTGCTGCCGCCGGAGGGGGTGACCTCGAGCCACGCACGCACAACAGAAGTGTTAGCTAGGTGGGGACGGTTAAGGACTCGTGTTAGAAAGGAACAAAGGCCCTGTCTTCTATCCGCCGCTGTCTCTGTCTCCCCCTTGCAACCCAACCCTTGTTTCTTAGGGAGGGGAGGAATAAATACCCCCGGCAGCAGCTGCTGCAGCTGCTGCTGCAGCCACTGGAAGTCGCAGTGTCGCCGTCGCACAGCAAACGGCCCCACACCTTCTACAGTACCCGTCACGGCATACAGAGCAGCGCGAGACCAAAGTGATGGGCCTACCAAGAACCCGGTGGTGCTGCTGCTGCTGTTGCTGCTGCTCACCGCCTCCGTCACCCGAAGCTCTATGCGGCGCCGCATGCGTTCTGCAGCACAAATGCCCCCCCAAAAGGAAGCCTGCAGCAGCTGCTTCAGAACATCGCCGCAGCAGCAGCAGCAACAATCCGCACAGAGGGCCTGCTGCGCACCTGGAGCTGGCACATTGAAGCTGCTGCTGTTGTTGCTGCTACTGCTGCTGCTGCTGCTGCTGCTCGTCACCCCCCCTCCCGGGTTGCAGCAGCAACAAACAGCACGTCCATGCGGCCGGGGCAGTCCTATGGTGGCGTCCTCTGGCAGCAGCACAGCGTCTGTGGGCTCTCCAAATGTATCTGCAGCAGATGCGCTGAGCCGATCAACACAGGGGAAGCCTGCAGCAGCAGCTGCCGCTGCTGCGGAGCCGTGAGCCAGATGCGGGCAATCCAGGCGGTTGCAGGTGCGCGGCTTCGAGGGGTGGCAAGCCCCTGCTACTGCCGCCGTTGCTGCTGCTGCAGCACAGTGAGATAAGGTGTGGCTCTCATCTGTGTGCAGCAGCGTAAACGAATCAAAGACATCTCCCTCACTGCTTGGAGACGGAGCGCGGTCGCCTTGTTGTTGATGCAGCTCAAGAGCAGCCAGGTCCTGCTGCTGCTGCTGCTGCTGCTGGTGTTGCAGCAGCAGCAATTCCTCCTCCTCCTCCCTATGCTGGTGCCTGTGCTGCAGCCGTTGCTGCTCCTGCAGCAGCCTGCTGCTGCACAGAGAAGGCAACCCTAGCCCGTTCCTCGCCCCCGACATCGCACTACTCAGGCGCCCTCGAAGCCCTGAAATGACAGCATCTCCAGCAGTTACAGAAGCAGCAGCAATTGCAGACGTTGGTGTCGGCACTGCTGCTGCCGCTGCAGTGTCTGCCCCATTAGCTGAGTTCACAAACGGCGCGAAGGGGAACTCCTCGGAGGCCTCGAGGGCCTCTGCCTTGCGGCCATTCAACCGCTGCTGCTGCTGCCGCTGCTGTCGCTGCTGCTGTCGGTGCTGCAGACGGTGATCCAATTGTTGCGCTGTTGCTGCTGCGTCATCTTCTGGAGACCCGTTCCCAGTCTGTGCTGTGGTGGCCGTCTCAGCCTCACTGCTGCCCGTTGCTGCTCCTGCGCTTCCGCAAATAACTGCTGGAAGGTCTTGCTGGTGCTCGTGCTGTTGCGACGCAGCGGCGACCGCTGTGCCACCAGACGCAGCTACATGGGCTGCGGCAGCAGAAGTCGCAGCATTTGCACGCTGCTTGCTATTGCTGGCCCTAGAGCCTGCGGCTTGTCTTCCCATCTTGCTGTAACAACTGCTGCAGCAGCAACAGTTGGAGCAGCAGCAACTGCTGCTACTTCTTCCGCTGCTGCTGGAGGAGGTGCTGCTTCGCAGAGGAGCTCCCGGCTCGAGGGCATGCGGAGCAGCCACAAAATCGGTGGACAATTGCTGCCACTGGTAATGCCTCTGTTGGTTCTGGTGCTGGTGCTGCCGTTGCTGCTGCTGCTCTTCCTGTTGAGGTGCGTACGTATGCCCCCGCGCACGTTGGTGGGGCTGCGGATATTCAGGCCAAGGGAGGAGGGCCCTAGTCCACTGTGAAGCCCCAGATGCAGCAGCAGTCTGCTGTCTTCAGCAGCTGCTGCAGCTCTAGATGCACCAAGTGCTGTAGGGGGAGGCCCCTTCCACTGTTCGTGAAGCTCGCGTGGCCATCAGAATAACAGCAGAGAAGCAACAGTCGAGGCGAAAGTACGTGCCCGCGTCCTTCTTCTTGTTGTTTCTTTGTAGTCTTACTGCTTCTGCTGCTGCAGTTGCGGTGGCCTCTTCTGCTGTTGTTGTGGTTGGTGTTTGTTCTGCAGTTGTTGTTGTTGCTGCTGCTGCCGCGGTCTCGCAGGTGCAGCGAACAACTGTATTGCTGTCACCAATCACCAACTGGGAAGTGCCAGATGGATGCTGCTGTTTGCAGTTCGGCCTCCTGGCGCTGGTGCCGCTGCTGCTGCTGCCGGTGGTGGTGCTGCTGCTGCTGGTATGACCACCAGGCAGCGCAGCAACGGCAGCCGGGTGAGCCAGATGGAGAGATGTCTAGTTCAAGCAAAGAACCAAGCGAAAGCAAAATGAACGAAATGCAGAAGACGAAGTCGACATGCGTTAAAGAAAGCCTACGCTGCTGCTGGCGTGCACAGCAGCAGCAGCAGCAGCAACAGCAGCAGCGCGGGACGACGCGAAGCAGCAGCTCACGGCATGCACTGCGTTGCCGGCGGAAATGAAACACGGAGAAACCAATTAGACCAACTTAAGAAAACAATCATAAAAGAAACAACAGCAAACACCGCCCTTAAACACTAACCTGTGGCGCCACCCAACAGCCAGCGCGGCGGCGGTCGGCGCAGCAGCAGCAGCTGCTGCTGCTGCTAGTGCTGCTGCTGCTGTAGCTCGCGTTCATTAGGCACCCGCTATGAGATAACAAACACATCAGTATACCCCAAGAGAAGACTACACAACAAACACGTCAACAATGAAGACACCACAGACGCTCCTTTTCGGAGAAGCAGCAACCCTCTTCCCACTAACCAATAACCAACAGCTGCTGCCTGCTGCAGCAATGTGCAGGAAGGTGCTGCTGCTGCTGCTTCCGCCGTTCTCCGCATGACAATAGCATCTTTCCTTTAGTTATCTTTTGTTAGAAACACATTTATTCTATTTTCCAAGTTACTTGCGGGTTCGGTCTCAACACCCCACAACGCACAGCATCGGCAGCAGCATCGGCAGCAGCAGCACCAGCAGCAGCCCTAAGGGAAGCAAGACCAGTGGTGGTGGGGCCTCTAGGCCAAGGGCCCCCAACAGACCGTCCCTGCTGCTTCTGCCCGCTCCGCGTAATTGCTGCCAACATTCTCTATATGTAAATAAATATGTAGCAGTGTAAGGCAGAAATTTGCCTCACAAAGGCATTGCAGGAGGTGCAAGGTGTGCTACTGTGTCTGCTGCCCCGCAGGAGAAGCAGCAGACACAGGGGCGAGACGCATAGCAGATGGTGGCTAGGTGCACCATCACGGACTTTTCTTAGCTACTGCTTTCGGTGCTTCTGATCACTCTATTGCTGCTGCGGCGGTTGCTTTAGCCGTGCTTGCTGCAGCGGCAGCTGCTGTGTCGCCTTGGGGGGAAATGGCGGCGAGGCCCCCCCCGTATGGAAGCCTGGAACAGGCAGCAGTGGCAGCAGGGGCAAATGAAGCAGCATCACAGACAGAAGCAGCAGATAGTGGACCCCAAATGCATGCAAACCACGCAGCAGCAGCAGCAGGCCCTCTCAAGGGCGTTGACGTAGATATACCGCCGTTCTTTGCAAAGGCGGGTCTTTCAGAAGCTGCTGCACCTGCTTCAGCAGCAGAAGCGGCATTTGCTGGCGCCGCTCCCGCAGACCCACCTTTGTCCGATTTCACTTTGTTGGTGGCTCGACGCTACATTCTTGTTGTGGCGAGCACAGATCGCCTCCAGCGGCGGCCACTGCATCAGCAGTGCAGCAGGGTGCAGCAGCACAATGTGCAGCAGCAGCAGATTCGCGAATGCATTCTGCATGGGGACGGCCTGGCGTGGAGGCGGCTTCACTCGTTGCTGCTGATCCATAAACAGCCGACACTGCAGCAGCGAGAGCACATGAAGCAGTATTTCAACCTCCACCAGCAGCAGCAGCAGCAGCAGCAGCAGCAGCATTGTTTCCACCGGCCTCCCACATGGGAGAGGATAGGCAAAAGGTTAATGACAACGGAGGAAGCAGAAGAGTGTTTGAAAAATGGTCAGCCCTCTTGATGCTGCTACTACTGCTTTTTATTGTTTTCCCCCATTTGGACCATTGCGACTACTGCTTCTCCCGCTGCTCGAGATTGTGCTGCTGCTGCAGAGGGTGTTCTGTGTGTTGCACTGTGTATGAGCTGCTGCAGCGCTATTGCTGCTGTTGGAGGAGCCGCAGCAGCAGGTTCGCTGCGCTGGTCTCGTCGGCTTCTTGCCGCTTGTTTGCGGGTTCCACCTCGTAGCTGCTGCCGGCGCACAGCCTGTGAGCAGCAGCAGCAGCAGCAGCGAAAAGAGCAACGTGTTTTATTGCAACAGCAGCTACCTTGGCGACTGACCTATAATACAATAGGCATCCCAGGTGCAGCAGCAGCATGAACGGCAACGCCAGGTGCGGAGACTACAGCGGCAACAGCAGCAGCAACAACAGAAGGGGCAGTTGGGGTGGTGTGTTGTGCTGTGCTCAGGCAGCACGCTTGCTGCAGCACCACACAGTGCATGCACTGGATGGCTTGCTGCTGCTGCCACTTTTCTTCGACGCAGTATCTGCACAGGAGGCCGCAGCCTTCTGCTGCAGCATACCGCCTACTATTGACTTACTGTATTCACTGCAACAGCACCAACATCAGCAGCATCATCATCATCACCAACAGCAGTCTGTGTACTTGCAACAGGTGCAGGATCTATGCAGGGGGCTGGCAGGTCTGTCGTTGAATTCGGGAGCAGCAGCAGCAGCAGCAGCAGCAGCAGCAGCAGAGGACGCAAAACATCGAGCCTCAGTTTCCGCATATCATGCAGATAGGGGGTTTTACTTCTGTCGGACCCTTTGCATCAACTTGTCATTACAGCAGTTGGCTGCTAGGAGAGCTGCTGCTCGTGCTGCTGCTGCTGCCGCCGCAGCAGCTGAGCTAGCTGGAACAGGGGTAGAAGCATCAGCAGAAGCTTGTACTGCTGCACGTTCAGCGCGATTTCACGAGCTGTATATCACTTGCGAGTTGCATTCAGAAGACAGCAGCGACAAGCAGCAGCAGCAGCAGGAGAATGAGCAGCAGCAGCAGGGGTGCAGCAGCCGCTGGCGCAGGTCGCCGCTACACAGGGAGGAGTGTCGATTCTTGTGGAACCGGGAACTGCTGTCTCTGCTGCTGCAACGGCAACAGCCGGAGTTGATATCTGAGGGTTTCTTCGTGCTGCTGCTGCATGGCTCGGTGCAGCAGCAGGTGCTGCACACGCAAGGAGTGCTGCTGCAGCTGCTGACAATATCGCGGCGGTCTGCTTCCTTTGCGGGGCCTCGGTAGGGCTCAGCATGCGTGAAGTTGTGCGGCTGTTGCTCTTTCTGCTACTTCTGCTGCATCGTAGGCGCCCTGCTGCCGCTACTTGCTTGAGGCGTTGTTTCTCATGGTGCTGTTGGTGAGACTGCAGACACTGCAAAACCAGCAGCTGATGCTTCCGCCGCTGCTTGTGTGTGTCTGCAGGTACCGGAAGCGGGGGCTCAATGACGCAGGAGACGCCGCTAATGAGGTGGAGGTGGAGTTCATCTGTCAAGCCGCAATGCCGTCGCGTGCAGCAGCAGCAGCAGCAGCTGTGGAGGCAGCAGCAACAGCAACAGCAGCATCACCAGACACTCCTGCTGCACTAAGGAAGCAGGTTTTGCTCCGTGGAGGAGGCGCATTTGAGGCTGCTGTTGCGTCACATGTGATAGCACGGGGCAGCGCGCCGCTGCTGTGGTGTCAAGACACAACAGTCATTCCCTCCAGACCCAGAATCCAACGCAGGATGGTGCGGCGGGCTACTGCTGCTGCTGGTGGTGCTGTTGCTGTTGTGTGTCTTTGTGACTGCTGGTTGTTGCTACTGTTCTTCCTTTACAAACGCGGGGCTTGCAGGGGTGATCGTGCCCACAACTTGCCCCTGCAATCCCTGCTGCGGCAGTATTTGTAGTAGCAGCTGCGGCCAGAATTGCTGCTAGGTGAATGATGCTGCTGCTGGTGCTACTGTTGCTGCGGTTGCTTTGTTGCCCTGTTGCCAGACAGACGTGAACTGCAGTGCCATCAGGAGGCACATGGCAGGCCTGCTGCAGCGGTACGGAGCTCCCCTTCTTCTACTTAATCTTCTGCGGAGCAGCCCGCGCCTGGGGCCACCCGTTGCAGTTAAGCAGACAGCGCCGCGCGCCCTCTCCGCGGCAGCAGCTAGTCCCGGGGAACAACAGCAGCAGGGCCTAAGGGCAGCTGCCGAAGCAGCAATGTGTGCTTTTGCGGAGAACGAAGAGAACAGTCACAGTGAAGAAGCACCAGCAGCAGCAACTGTAGCGGAGCAGGAGGCTTATCTTGGAGAGGAATACCGCAGAGCAGTTGCAGCTCTGAACGCAGTAAGTTATGCTTGAAGTAGCAGCGGCGGCAGCAGCAGCAGCAACAGTAGCTGTACCAGCAGCAACGACTCCTGTTGCTCGTGTCGCTGCGGCTCGTGCTGCCGATGCTTGCGTTACAGTTGCAGGGGTTGCCTTGGGGGAGTTAGGGTATCTGCACACTGGTTCGCGTCTTGTGCTGCTGCTGGTGCTGCGGCGGCATTGCATGAACTTTGATGCGCTGCAGGAGCTTCCTGCTGCGGTGCAGCTGCGGTTTGCTGCAGTCGACATCGAAGCAGCTAGACGCACAAACCCTTCCGGAGCATCTGCATGGGTGGGGGCCCTTGCAGCAAATACCCTTCGAGAGCTGCAGTTTTTTGCTTCCAACGAGTCCGTCGAGACCCTCCCGCTGCTGTAGCAACGACAATGGCAGCAGTAGTAGAACTGCGTAGTAGTAATAGTAGTAGTAGTAGTATTGGGAAGGTTGGAGTTGGCGTTGATGCTGCTGCAGCAGCCGAGATATGGGCTTGCCTTCCCTGTTCGTTGATGTGCTTGCTCGTGGCTTATGCGTGCCTGTGACTTGCAGCTGCTGCCTGTGGCTTGTTTTCGTTGCTTCCGCTGCTGTGGTTCTTTGGTGCTGGCTATGGACCGGTGCTGTTCTGCGGTCTGCTGCTGCTGCCTGTGGCTGTGGCTTGCTGCTGCAGTCTGTGGGGTTTGCTGCCTGCGCAGCTGCAGCGGGGGGTCTGCCGGCTGAACTGTCTGGACTCCTTAGACAGAACTAACGAGCTGCAACTCCACCTCCATAGGGCTTTTGTCCTTGCATTTATGGAGGCACTCCCTGCTGCTCTCGTTATCGACCACGCCTTAGACCAACAGGCAATAGGCACATCCACCTCAACCTCAGCAGCTGCTGCGGTTGCTTTTGCTGTTGTTGCTGTTGCAGGAGCTCCACCACACATATACGCATACACTAGGCACAGATACCGACAGAGACGGGGACATCTCCACAAAAAATGCCCTTTAATAGTGTGTCATTAGGATTTAGGGATTAGGGTTGCTGCTGTTTCTGTCGAGCTACTTGCATTTGCTGCAGGTGCTGCGTGCCATAGCCGCCCTCACCGACAGCAGCGGCGATGACCTTGCCCTTCAGTATGGAGGTGAGCAGCAGCGAACAGCAAGAACGACAGCAAAAGCAGCAGCTTGAGATGCATAAGCTGCCGACAGCAGCACAAGAGAGCACAGGAGTTTCCGGCAGGGGCAGTTGGGGCTCGGCTCCTGCTGCTCCGGCTGAGGACGTAGTCTTTACGGTTTAGGGAATATGCTGGCTGTTTGGGTGGCGGGTGGTGTTTCTGCATGTAGGGTCGGTTGCGCACAGGAAGAGGCTCGAGCCGCTGGCCTGGGCTGCGCAGCTGCCTAGGGGTTCGTCCCCAGGAGACGATCAGCGCGGTAATAATAGGAGGGTTTTTAGTACAGCTTCAAGCACCAGCAACAGCAGTTCCTGGTCGCAGTTGCCGCCGCCTCCTCTCGCGGCATCTTTTGTAGCAGATGAGACTGCTGCCGCAGAAGAGCCCCGCATAAACAGCAGCAGCAACAAGCCCAGCAGCGGCTTGTTGAGCAGCGCGTTAACTGTCTTACAAGGCGTCTCTTCAGCTTTTGCTCTTCAGTGGGTTGGGGGCCGCAGCAACGGCGGCCTTATGCTGCCGCTGCTACCGGGCCTTTCCACTTCCCTTCAGCGAAGGTAAAGGAGACACAAACAGCTGCAGGAACAGCAGCAGCAGCAACAGCGGCAGCACATCAGCAACTGCAGCCATAGCAATAGCGCTGCCCGAAGCAGGAGGAATAGCACTAGCGCGAGAAACAGCAGCAGCAGCAGGAGCAGGACTTTTCTCAACAGAAGAGATGTTGGATTGGCGGGTGTAGGATTTAAGGTGTACACGCAGCCTAGGGAACCGGAAGGAACCAGGGCCGTTGCAGCAGGTAGCTGCAGCATCAGTCTTGTGTGCTACTCTGCTGCTGCTGAGCTGCTGCTGTTCTGCTGCTGCGCTGGTACAGATACAGCAACGTTCTTGAGGACGGGAGGAAACAGCAGGCATTAAATATTTGGTTTTGTTTGTCTTCTCCCTTCACAAGGCCTAACCTAAGAACGCCCATTTGGAGGGTCGAAGACAGCAACGACCTATACACACATCACAAGTAAGACTCTCTACGCACACTGCTGTTGCTGGTGCTGCCGCTGCAAGCCGTGTATCGCCTGCTACTGCTGGAGCTGGTAGTGACTCTGCTTTATTTGTTGCTGCGGCTGCTACAGCTGCAGCTGCAGCAACTCGGGGTCATTACTTTCTGTCTGTTTGACGTGGACAGTTGGGAGCTCCCCGGAAATAGCAACGGAGCTTATGCAATAGTGGCTTCTGGATGCTGCACCTGCTGATGCTGTGGATGTTCATTCTGCAGCTTCTTGGAGCCTTCTTTTTCCCCCAAAGACTGGTGGGTGCTGCCGCTGCAGCGGTTCTTTAACGGCATGAGAGCGTCTCTAACCCTCTCTCACTGCAGCAGCAGCAGGTGCTGCTGCGAGCAGTCTGCAGAGCACCTGCAGGGAGGAGCAGCTACGAGCGTTGCAGGAGCAGCCACGGATGCAAAGCAGCTGTTGGGCTGCTGCGGCCGCAGCTGCCAGCCTGCAAGCACCCGGCAGTTTGCTGCAGCAGTGACAGCAGCTGATGCGTTTTTGCGTTCTCGCGGGCCCCCCTGGGTGCTGGAGTTTCTACCGCCGCCTTCTGCAGGCACAGCTCCAAGCAGCAGCAGCAGCAGCAGCACCGTTGATGAACCTGAGGATGGTGAACAATGCCTCTTGGATGTGTTTACCTATGCCCCTTGGCGCAGACAAGCAGCAAAAGCAGCAGCAGCTGCTGCTGCTGCAGCTGCTGAGGCCGCAGTAGGGGTTACCTCCGGCAGTCTCACTAGCGAAGGAACTGAACCCTTGGTGGCAGCAGCACAACCAGCAGCAGCAACAGCAACGGAAGCAACAACGGGAACAGAAGTCAACTTTACAGTCCCGCATGCCCCAGCTGCTGCTGCTGCTGCCACTACAGATGTTGCTGCTGATGGATTAGACCACCAGCAGAACGCAGAGAGAATTGATGATCGGACGGAAAGCAACAGCAGCTGCAGGAAATCATCCCCAGCCCATGCAGGACTTGAGCAGGGGCTGGAGGCACTTGCGTATGTGGGGAGGTTTTCGCTGGCAATGCTGCTGCCGAGTCTTATAGACAGCGAAACAGCCGCAGCAAGAGCAATGCAATGCTGCTATGCGCTGCTGCTACGGGAACAGGAGCAGCGCTGGACGTACACTGCACTAGAGCAACTGAAACAGCAGCAAGAGGAGGAGGAACGCAGGGGCAGCAGCTTTGTTTCCAGGTGGCCTTCCGCGCATTTGGTGTTGCAGCAACGCAGCAGCGGCAACGCGCTGCATCAGCGGCTTCTGCAGGCATACAGAGTTAGACGGCTCAGGATGGATGCAGCGGCGTCCGTATGCAAACAGCAGGAGCCAGCAGAAGCAGCAACGTGCCTCTGCGAGCTCTGCTGCACATCTCACGCTGCAGCAGCGGCCGAACCCAAGGCACTGCTGCTGCTTCTCCCAAAAGCAGCACCACAGGAACCACAGGGGGACTTTACAGCTGTCAACGGCGACTCGCAGGAGCAGCAGCTGCTGCTGCGAGAGAGCGCAGAAGCATTTAAAAGGATATTGCGGGGGCAGTTGAGGCGAAGCCTTGAGGTGTATATGCAGCAGCAGCAGTTACAGCACAAGAAGGCACTGAAAACTCTTCCGTTCGAACTGCAGCAGCAGCTGCAGCTCTCTAGCAGCACGTATAGCGGCTTAGACTGCCGCCGTAGAGAACCAAGCAGCAACAGCACTAGCACCTGCTGCTGGGAAGCAGCACTTGCTGCCGCTTCCGAGACGGAGTTGCAGCCCGTCGAGCTTCATGCGCAGCATCAGCAGGCTCACCTCACCAGATTGCAAAGGCAGCAACAGCAGATGCAGATGAACTTGCTCTTATCCGTGTAGGCTATTGCCTGTGTAGGCTGGTGCTGGTGGTGTTGCCCACGGCCTTCTTTTGAGATGCAGCAAAGGCAGCAACCGCGGCAGCAAGAACGGGATGTGATCCCGCTTGCACAAAAGCAGAAGCGGCAGAAGTAGCGCCTTGCAGCAGTTATGGCAGCAGAAGTGAGCATTTAGGGGAGCAGCAACTGCTGTTGCTGTTGTATATATGTTTGGGTGTAAACGAACAGCTTCAAGCCACATTGAGACAGTAGTATTTTATGAGACAGTAAACAATAAATAAGTCTGCGTAGCGAAATAACTGAGTACCCGGGGGGTCAGACAACAGGATATGAGACGAGCAATAGATACCACAGCAGTCAGCAGTTGCTGTTGCCGTTTACTCCAACTGCTACTATGGAGGTGTTGGGGTGCCTCTACAGCTGCAAAAAAGTGCCTGTGGGGCCGAGAAAAGGAATTAATATGCGGACAAACAAATTAAGTACATCGGATACGGATATTCGTATTCATGCACGCTAATAAAGGCATGCGTAAATGCATGCCTTTGCTGATGCTGGAGACTGCTACAGGTGCTCCAGCCGTTGCAGCAGCAACATACAGAGGATGTCTTTACCGTTGACTGAGGCTACCCACAAGCCTTAAGCGCTCTAGCAATGGAGGAATGCGTAGCACAGCGTTGTTGTTGCTGCTATTGTTGCTGCTGCTGTGGCTGCTGTTCTCACTGGCCAGAGGGTGACGGGAGGACAGTGCAGCTGACGGTTTCTCCTTCATGTTTTCCGGCGACGCGAAGGCAGCTGCCGTGCTGCCGCCGTCAGCAGCAGACGCAGCAGCAACAACAGGAGCAGGAGCAGGAGCAGCAGCCTGGGTAAGCGCCGTCAGAGCAGCTGGTGCCTTGCGTTTCCTCTGTGCAGTTGCAAGTCGTTGAGATGCTGCTGCTGCACTGGAAGCAAACCTACTTCCACGCCCTGATGCCCCGTTGTCGACGCTAACAGCAGCAGTAGCAGCAGCAGCCGGTGTTGCTGCTAACACTGCTAATGTTGCCTGGCTCGCTGGACTCTCGCCGATATCCTGTCCATCGTCAGCAGCAGCAAAGTCGGTAGCAGCAGTAGCAGCAGCAGTTGCTACTGCCTGTGCTGCTGCTGCTTCCTCTGCGGACCTGTTCCTGCATCGCTCATATAAGTGGTTTAAGACAAATCCCCAAAAAACTCTGCGGCTGCATGCGCAGCACCACCAATAAGAAGGGACTACTCGGTATGCCTCGTCAAGATCGTCATCTGCTGCTGCAGCGGCAGCAGCAGCAGCTTCTGTTGCAGCTGCTTTCCGCGCAACGGACGATGACGCTGCAACTCGCCGCTGGTGCTGCCTTGCTGCTGCTTCCTGCTGCAGGGCGTAGCGTCCAGCGCACGTCAGGTGTACGTACACTCCGCACTGAGGGCAGTAGACAGCCCGGGCCTTTTCTTGAAACGTCGACTGACACAACACACACGAACCACCTCCAGCAGTAGCAGCTGTTCCCTGTGCTGCTCCTGATGCTGTTACTTTTGCCGCCGTTTCTGCTGCTGCTGCTGTTTCAGATAGCTGCCCGAAGCAGTTTGAAATGCTGCTGTCCTTCTGAAGGTGCCGCAGGTCGGGTGTTGCACCATCACCAAAGCAGCAGATACACCCGCTGCTGCTGCTGTTGCTGCATCCTGTGAAGGCTGCTACTCGCAGGCCAGGAGGCTGCAGGCCGGTCGAAATTAAGGGGCCGCTGCTGATTGTAACCTGTGGGGGTAGCCTGGTCAACGCGCGCCTGCTGCAGCTGTTGTTGCTGCTGCTGCAGGTGGTTTTTGTGAGGTTTTTTCTGGACCCCCCTCCACAGCAGGGGTACAGCAGCAAGTCCTGCAGGGCATCTGCGACATCTCCGTAGCAGCACCGCAGCTGCAGCGGAAGCCGCCCGAAAGGGTCTCCGTACAGCAGCAGCAGCGCCTGCTGCAGCTCAGCTTCAAGCCGCTGCTGCGGCAGTTTGCTGCGGCGTCTCCGTTGCACAAACTGGACGCGGCAGCAGCGAGAGTCGTCTGCTGCTGCTGCCTGCAGATCAAGTAACTCCCAGTCCGCTGCTGCTGCTGCTGCTGCTGCTGCTGTTGCAGTGCTTTGTGTGGGGGCTACTTTGGGATGGCGTTCGCGGCGCTGCTGCCTGCGTCGTGCTGCACAGCTGCTGCAGGTGCTGCAGCTGCATATGGACCCTGTGTCTCCGCAGCAGCACAAGGAACGAACGGCGGCAGCCGGGACGAGCGCCTGCTGCCAGCGAAATTCAAATTGTAAAGCTCCCACTAAGGATGGAAAACCCGAAATAAGCAAACAGAGACGCCATGGGCGGTGCCTGAAGCAGTAGAAGCAGCAACAGCAGTAATGGCGGGATAATATATAGGGTCACACGCCAGTGGCACAAATACCATATTGAAGCGGAAATGTCTAGGCAGCACCAGCAGCACCACCAACAGACACTGCACCGCCAAATCCTTTTGCAGCAGCAGTAGTATAAGCCTGAACAGCAGCAGCAGCAACAGAAGCAGCAGCTGCAACAGCGGGGGTCTCACCAAGAAGTGCGGAGGGCTCCCTGTATTATTTCTCCGTTGTGTTGCCTCAGTCGCCGTAGAGGATTTGTGGTGCAGCCGACGTAAAAATGCAGCGGAGATGAGATGGACTGCAGCAAATACACGCAAAAAAAGCCCCGAGGCACCCAACGCCAGCTGCTACTGCTACTGCTGCTGTTGCTGTTGGTGTTGCTGCTACTGCTATTTGCCCCTCGGGTGGCGTCCGCCTCGTCTGCGCTACTGGGGTCGAAGACAGAATGACAGCTGCTGCCGATAGAGCCGTTGCTGCAGCTTCTGCGGCTGCTGCTGCTGAGGCTTCGACTGCTGCTGCAGCTTCTGCTGCTACTGCAGCTGTTGCAGCCGTTACTTCCGGCGGGGTGGCTCTGTGTAGCAGCAGCTGGAGGTGGAGCACAATCAGAAAGAAACTGCCGATCGAAATCCATAACGGAGCAGTTGCTTCTAATGCGGTGCGGCGTACGCACAAACAGACGCAGCACCTCTCCCGCCGTCTTACATCAGCGGCAGTAGCCGCAGCAGGCGTAGCCTGTGCAGCTGCAGCGGCTGCTGCTGGAGAGGCCAAGGTTCTCTGTGTTGTTTCTATTCTTTTGCTTTGACGAATATATCCCAAAAGAAATAAGTACTGCTGCAACACAAAGAAGACATGTCGTAGCAACAGCCAGTCGGGGCCCTGTGGGGCCCTGAGGCAGCAAGCCGCCGCCGACGATCCCGCTATCTCGGGTAGGGGCTTGTCGTGTGTAGTACACATATTAACTTTCTTTTCTTGCTCAGTTTAATGAATTAGTTTGCTCTACGTTTATACTGAGAAGGGGACCCGATCGGACCAGGTGTGCCCGAGAGCAGCAGCAGCTGCTGCCGATCACTAGGCCTGTCGTCGGCCGTTCGTTTCAGCAGTGGCGCAGCAGCAGCGCTCGGGTGTTTGCGAGCAGACAGGAAGCAATAAATTGGAACAAAATCGTAGGCAAAGTAAGTGGAATCAAAACACATAAAAGAATAATTCAAATAATAACTACCCAGGATGGGCGGGCCCTCACAGGCCACCTGCACTCACTGGGCAGCTGTGCTGCTCGCCTTTGCAGTGGCGGCAGCAACAGCAACAACAACGGAAACGATTGAATCGGCAGCAGAGTCTGCAGTATCTGCTGCTGCCGGTGCCGTTGCTTCAGTTTCTGGGCTTGGTGCGTCGGATGATCACCCATGCAGCTGCTCTGGTGTAACCGCAGCAGCTGCAGCAGCATCAGCTGCAGCACCCGTACCTTTACCACCTCCTTCTGTTTCCGGAGTTTCTCCGGAAGGTGTTTACTTCATCCCAGATCCCCTTCCTGCAGGGGAGACCGCAAGAGGGTGTAGGAAGAGGGGTAAGCAGCCGGAGAATCACCAGCCGCAGCAGCAGCACGAACAGCAGCAGCACCAGGAGGATGCTACAGAGGACGGATATGAGGACTCCATGTGTCCTCCTGCTGATAGCCTTATCTGGCCCCATGCGTCTCCATACACTGCCAGAATTCTCTTTACCCCGGCAAAGCCGGCGGCGTTTCAGCGGGGTGAAGAGGCAAAGACGGAGGCAGAAGAAGAGACAGAGGCAGAACAAGGAAGTGAGACAGAAACAGAACCAAAAGGGGAATACCAAAGGCAAGAAGATACTCAACCGGACAGCCCAGATTCTGCTGCTGGCCCTCCTTCCTTCGATGAGAGGCTTCTGCAAGATTTCGCTACAGCGCAGCAAGAGGTCAGGCAAAAACTCCCAGCAGAACGCAAGAAGAAGACATCCCCACAAGCGCTCCATCGCTTCCACCAGCAGAAGCAGCAGGAACAGCAGCAGGATCAGGAGCAGGAGCATGAAGGTCTGTGCAGGCGTGGGCGGGCACCTTCTTACGAAGACCGCAGGCGACAATTTATAAGGGATTTCTCTGCCGATTACTCAATACAAGCAGAAGAGACAGCCCAGAGGGAGCTAAAACGCCTGCAAGGAGACATTTACCTGGACTATGCAGGTAAAATGAGGGGTGGGGGTTAAATGAACAAGACATGAACAAGGACAGAACAGCGGAATAGGGAAACGGAAGTCCAGATAAAGACGTATAAAGAATTAAACATTACTCAACAGCACAGTAATAACAAACTAAAAGAAGATAAATACAACAGAAATAGCACGGAAACAAAATATCAGTAACACAGACACAATCAATAACAACGAAAAGGAAGGAAATCGCCCAACACTCAAATTATCAGAAAAAGCTGCAGACAGAAATAAACAGAAAAACCAAAGAGAGCTAGCAGTAGTTATACACAACCAAGAGAAACAACACACAAAAGCAGAAGGTAAACAATTACAATATGCTGCAATATATAGGGCCTGTGGCGGAGGTACTGCAATTGCAAGCCACAAGCCCCACAGCGACGCTCACGAAAGGGAAGAAGTGACAAGTCAAAGCATTTACAAACAAATAGAACTATCATGTAGTAATATGTACTAAAAAGTGGAAAAGAACGAACGGGAACAAACGTATGCAACTGAGAATGGGCGGGGCGGGTAGAATAAGCCGGAGAAAGGAAGAGAAAGGGAGATAGGAAGAAACAGGAAGCGGAACTGCCTTGGTTTGTTGCCCAGATGGCTGTTGAGGCGTGTGTGCTTGTGTCTGTCCTCTGCCTCCTAGGTAGTTCCCTGTATCAAGAGCAGCAGATTTTATCTGTTTTCAAAGATTTGGGGCTGCATACGTTCGGCAATGCTCATTCCCGGAATCCTTCCGCCAAATTTACTGGTAAGTGGTTGTCTTCATTCTATTTCATCTCCATTATGCAGCATGCAGTGGCGCCGGTATGCAAAGGTAGCGTATGTATGTATACTTATATTCATAAACGTTATCTATATAAGTGCACTCTTAGTATGTACATACATGTACAAATATTGGTTGATAGCCGCACGAATACAGGTAGCGCGCAGTATCTCTGCAGCTGTGATCCTTCGCAAATGTGGAGGCAACAGGATAGTCTGTATGAGTGCACACATTGATGCTTGCGTATACAGTTGCTTTTTCCAACTAACTAAACAAGTAAATAAATAAAATATATGTCAGTATATGCTGGTGCGTAGATGAGAGGACTCGAGAAGCTCGCGAGTTGACTCTGGATTTCTTCGGAGCGCGTGAAGAAGAATTTGCAGTTGTGTTTACTTCAGGTCCAACAGACGACGATGCTGCTGCTGCTGTTCCTGCTTCTGCTGCTGCTGTTTGTTTTCCTGCTGCTGTTGTCTCTGCGATTTCTGCTGTTGTTGGTGACTCTAGCGTCTATTTTGCGGCTTCCGATTGTCTGTGATTTGGCGCTGCCGGGACTCAGAAGTCTCTGCCGCTCCTTTTTGTTGCTGTTGGTATTATTGATATGCTTGTTTTTGTTGTTGCTATCATTGTTCGTATTGCTAGTATTTTTATTGTTGGTGCTATTGTTGTTATTATAGTTATTATTATTGTTATTGTTATTATTCTTGTTGCTGCATAGTTAATCTGTGTTTGTGGGTTTTGTGTGCGGCTGTACAGGGGCGACGGCAGCCATAAAGTTGGTCGGAGAGGATTTCCCCTTTTCTTCTGCCTCTCGGTTTTATTATCTCCGCATTAACCACAACTCCGTCCTGGGTGTTAGGTGAGTGCTGCGATGCCACCGCTTTGTTGTAGGTATACCTGATACAGTAGTTGCTGCCATGGTTACCTCTGTGGGGTCTTCATCCTCTTCTGTATCCCCGTCTGTTCCCCTCAACTCCGCTCTCGAGCAATTAAATATCGTCGTTCTTTTCGGATGATGCAGCAATTGGAGCAGCAAGTATTGGTGGCGACATGTTGTTGCGTGACGTTGCCCTTGCTGTATTTGCCCGTCTTTATTGTGCTTGTGTCCTGCTGTTACCGGAAGAGCACTCGTAGGGGTTTTAGATATGTTGTTATTTGTTATTTTAGTTGTCTTCTGTTGCATTTGCCTTGGGGTTGCAGCTTCGTTTGATATGTTTGATTGCCTTTGTGCTCAAAGCAGCGCTTTGTATGTATGCGCAGCAGTCACAGTTTTCATATGCGCGTGTTATCGATTTTTGTCTGTTTCTTTACTCGTGTCTCTGTGCATGCACCTTTACTGGAAGTTTTGGGTTGCAGCAGCTGTGCTGTGTATTCACAGTGTGACAACTGTTGTGCTACTGCATGCGCTTGTCATGTATCGGGAGGCAATGCGGTCACGTGCCATCCTGGTGTGTGTTACTGTGGTGGGGTTACTGCTGCTGCCAAGCGGACTGTGTGTCTGTGTGCTTGCGTGTTAGGGAGTTGGCTTATGCAGCAGGAGCGAAGGCTGTGAAGGCTTTGTCTGCTCGAGAAGTGGAGGAAACACTGAGAGCACGAGAGAGGCAGCAGCAGCAGGAGGCAGAGGCCCCAAGGGCTGAGCCCAGCTCCTTCTGTCTTTTTGGGTTTCCCCTTAAAGACAACTTTAATGGCGCGTCATTCCCTCTTTCCTGGATCCAAAGGATACACAAGTCAGCCCCACCTTCAAATCGCCCTCAAACATAATTCGCCTCCTCAGAGAAACAACGCATGCAAGCCGGCATTACCTGCTCAGGCAGTTCAAATATATACTCTATAGGCCGATCAAAACTTTTCTGTGGCTTCTCCTGCTTCTGCTGCTGTCAATGTTGCTAATGCTACTGATATTGCTGCTGCTGCAACTGCTGCTGCTGCTGCAACTGCTGCTGCTGGCGGGTGCTTGTATTCTTCAGAGTGGGCCTCTCGAGCGACTGCCGCTGGCTTGTGCTTCTTGACGCCGCCGCTGCTGCTCCGACATCGCGGATTCAGCTTTCCGGTGGAGAAGAAGATGAGGCTCCCGATTTTTTGGCATTGTCTTTTTATAAAATCTTCGGATATCCGACGGGTTTGGGAGCGCTTATCCTCAAGCGCAGCGCAGCAGACGTCTTGAAGAAGGTCTGTTGTTGATGTAGCAGCGACGGGCCTCATGCGCGTTCCCGTGCAGCCTCCCTCAGGTGTATATGTACGGTGTTAGGTGTATATGTGTTGCTTTTACTTGTTGTGTGTGTTGTTTCATGAAGTTGGAGAATAGGGGACTGCTGTGTTCTGCCTTCTCCACAGCGAGCTTTCTCGGGTATAATCCTCTGTGCTTGTGCCGCAGGTATACTGGGGTGGAGGCAGCGTCTCGGGTTCTCTGTGCGACGCGCGTTGGCAGAAGCCAAAGGCAGACATCTCCGCCCGCCTCGAAGACGGGACGGTCAACTTCCTCTCCATAGCCGCCATCAAATACGGCTTCGCCGCTCTACAGGCAAGGCAGCAACCCTACTCTTTTAGGCCTTGCTAGTACAACCATCAACAGTATTCAAGCGTGGGCGCTGCACTAGCACACATGCAGCATATACCCCTCCCCATGAAGACGCATAGCGTTTTTCACGTCTCCGTATTGCCCGGCCCGGCCCAACAGGTGCTGCATTGACTGCTGTCTCAGGCAATAGGGATGGAGGCAATCGAGCGACATGTGGGCGCCCTCACACGCCACCTCTATCGCTCCCTAAAGTATCTCCGACACCGTAACGGCGCCTACTTTGCACTCCTCTACTGGGCAAAATCCGAGGAACCTTCAGGTGGGACCGAGTCTTCTTGCAAGGCGGCATTCTGCTTACGGCCTGTTCGCCGCCGAATACACTAAACAGCACTTTGTGTACACTGAAGCGACTCTAGGTCTGCAGAGTTGCTACAAGTCTCGGGTCGGGCTATGGGCATGCAGGTGGGATAGTCAACTTCAACTTACTCAGACCTGATGGGTCTTTCATTCCGTTTGGAGAGGTAAGACAGGAAGCCAGGAACCACGGCACCATCAGAAGTGCGAAACATTGCTCGGAATCACCGCAACAGCATGCTGCGTGCAAGAAAACGCTCTGTCTATGCTTATGTGAGCGGTGTGCGGCCTGTCTAGGTGGAGGCCAAAACAGCTGCTGCGGGAATTCATCTTCGCACTGGTTGCTTCTGCAACCCTGGAGGCTGCCAGGTAAACGCAGTATTTTCAGGACACTCACACTACTGCGGTCGACTCAAGGAAATTCGCAGTCATGCATGCCCATAGCATGCTCAGCTCGTCTGCTTTGATGTTTTTTCTTGCTTAGGATTTCCTCGGACTTACAGGAGCAGACATTGTCAACGCAACCCTCGCAAGAGAAAGTTGCTCAGACCCCAGCGGTGCCTTGATTCGCACAACTCCACAACTTGGTTGGATGGGAAGTGCGCCACTAATGACAGCAAAGGCATCCGGATCTGTTCGAGTCTCTCTTGGATACCTGAGCACGTTTGCTGACGTAGATGGTTTGGTTGAATTCCTAACGCAGAGTTTTCTTTGGCAATGACCACACGCGCATATTGGCAGTCACTTTCTAGCTAACACTGGCTACCCGTTGAGGGGTCTGTAGTTCGGTGAAACGTACAGACTAAAATTTGTAGTCATCATACATAGGTGATGACTTTTTTTTTTGGCTTCAACGTCTTCATTTTCCATTGAGTATGCGGGATCAGGTTAACTGTGCCACGAAAGCAGCGTTTGAACTTAATTGTTTTCAAGTACGTATTCTTCTGCGCAACTGCGCACAAAGTGATTTCCGTCTTTCCTGCAGCTGACAACTAGGTTGAGACAGGCACCTAAGAATTGAGTTTGTAACTAGGGAAAGGCACGCATGAGAGCACCATACGACTAACTTCACTATTCCTAGCAAAGGCATTTCAGGTTGTGCCCTTTGCTCCCTGCAGATAGATGCCAAACTGAAAAATGACATTCTAAAGGGAAGTGTGTACCCCACATGATGAGATTCAGTAAAGCGGTCTGAAGCGAATTCGTGGTCACTTGTAGATCAGTTCACACGTGCCTCTTTTGCTGTACACGCGCTCCTATTGGGATCCATGCTACCTTCAACCAATACGACTTCGCATTCTTAGTATTAAATTTCATATAAAATTTCACTAGCTTCCGCGAAAGGCTAAGTTCGCCGAAGCACGATGGGGTGGCCGTCCGTCGTGCCCGAATGTTGGCTGGTGTCGCCTTCTATTCTCGCAGCAGCAAGATTTTGCAATTTGAGTATGTGTTCGTCCCCCCAAAGCTCAATTGTTTTTACTTTTGAGTGACTAACTTCTCTCCTATGCTCTTGACCGAAGATGACGTGTCAGTTCATTCGGATCTGGAACGTGAAAAAAAATGCCGCCATTTCTGTAACATCCACGCCGGTGAGGTGTAATGACAGGTGAAGTCTTCAAAGCATGACGTCAGTCACAAAAAGCATATTTGGTACAACTCTTACTTGGTACCTAAATTTAGGTCGTTGTAATTTCAGGTATTCAAGGTGTCAGTTACTCCACTCTGCCCCCCAGCTCTAGTCGGACAGCGGTCCATCGGCATCTCGCACCCCCTAACCCCCCGCCGGCACCTCAAATAGGTGTCACACTAGGCCTGACGCGTTGCCACTTCTAAACAAGTAATTAATTTCCCCTTCTTGTCCGGTTGACTGCTTTTGTGGACACATGACGCAGCGTCACTAGCCTCGCCACGAACACTGAGCCATCTGTGCTCCCACCTTCCCAGCCGAAGTCACGAGCATCAACTTCAGTTGTCTTCCTTCCCATTGTCTACCTGTCTACCAAAAATGGCGATCTTCTCCTCCCTTCGTCTCTGCTCAGGCACGATTTTCTTCGGTAGGTGTTCTGCTTCCCTCGACAGTGAATAGCGCCCCAGTCCAGCCAAGCAACAACAAATCGCTGATGTTCTTTTGCAGGGGTAGCCCTTCTCTCGGCGCAAGGTTCCAATGCTGTGTCTGCCACTAGATCTGGCCCCCACAAGGCGGTTGATTTGCAACAGATCCTGTCGATTTTCCCTGGACTTGACACAAGATACCCTATGATCCGCGAAAGCCCAGGACTCCTGGAAAACATTACTGAATTCCTCGAAGACAACTCAGAGGTTCCAAAGGAAGAGCTCGAAGCTGCTCTACGCAAGTTCCTATGCGAGAGAGGCTACACTGCATTCTGCTGTAGCGCATGTTACACTAGCACAACCACTTCTTCCCCGACAACCAGTTCACAGTCCACACAGCCGGGTACCACTGACTCTGCCACCACTGGACCATCCAGTACCGCACCAGCCACTACGGAGCCAGCCTCGACACAACCATCAAGCACTGAGCCTGCAAGCACACAACCATCAAGCACTGAGCCTGCAAGCACACAACCATCAAGCACTGAGCCTGCAAGCACAGAACCATCAAGCACTGAGCCTGCAAGCACTGAACCATCAAGCACTGAGCCTGCAAGCACTGAACCATCAAGCACTGAGCCTGCAAGCACTGAACCATCAAGCACTGAGCCTGCAAGCACACAACCATCAAGCACTGAGCCTGCAAGCACAGAACCATCAAGCACTGAGCCTGCAAGCACAGAACCATCAAGCACTGAGCCTGCAA